GGCAAGGCCCCCTTCCAGATCCCTCCCTTCCCGGACCTGACCGTCTGGATCACCTTGATCTTCTCGCCCTCGATTTCCACGGTCTTCTCCCTGAAGTCCACGCCGATGGTGGCCTCAGTCTTGTCCGGGAAGGTCCCCCCGCAGAAGCGAAATGTCAGGCAAGTCTTGCCCACGTTAGAGTCCCCAATCACAATGATTTTGAAGATGCGAATCTGTACGTACTGGTCCAGCGAAGAATCGAGCTCCAGGGACGCCAGGCCAGCGGCTGAGGCGGGCTGCAGGCTCCCATGGCCCAGGATGGGCTGCGCCATCTCCCCCGGACCGGACCGGGGCCCCAATCCCCCTTGAGGGCTCCACACAAAGAAAACGGCCACGTTAGTGCGCTCGAGGCGAGCGAGCTTTGTGCGTGTGTGTATGCGTGTCTGTGAGTGTGTCCGCGCGTGTCTGCGTGCGCCGGCAACGTGTGCGCGCGCGCGTGAAGGGGGTGCCTCTCACCCAGGCCCCCCTCCTCCTCCTCCAGCGCACCCTCCTTGCAGCTCCGAGGCACTAACACAAAAGCCAGGGAGGAGAGGAGAGATGGAGGAGCGTGGCAAGCCGCGAGCCTGCTTCCTTCTGCCCGTACCCTCGGACGGGACGCTCTGGCGCGTGATCCTACGATGCACCTGAAGCCGCCGCCGCCGCCTCGCCTTTGCCTAGACCCTCCCCTGCCTGACCCCAGGGACACACCGGAGGGAGGAAGCCTAAGGCGGAAAGGGAGGGGGTGGGGAGAGCGTCACACACCACCGCGGGATGGTCTTCCTTTCTCCTTGCCCCCATTTATGCTATAGGTCTCGGGCTCCCCACCCCCACTTTCTTGGAGCGCACGGGGTCATCGGGCAGGGAGCACAGCTGGGAAGGACAAAGAGAGCTGCACCCTAAGGCATCTGAAACACGTCGGCCTCGGAGCAACACAACTCGGCGGGGGTGGGCTGCGGAGCGAAGATACCTCCTTCACCTCCTTAGCGGCGGCCAGCTGAGCCGCGCCTCCGCAGCCCCCTCCAAAGCCTTGGGATAAAAGGATGCTCTGTCTTATTGAGTAAGCAGGTGCACTCGCGCGCCCCAAGGAGCCAGGCAGGGCGCTGCCAGCCGTGGGTTGTGGGGGCCCGCGCAGCTGAGAAGAGGGAGCCGGGGGGCACGGGTGTGCGTGTGTAGGGGGAGTTACTGTTTCTGTCACAGACTTGCCAGATGTAGGGGGGCGCGTGCCAGGCGCCAACCTCCTCTCATCACACCACGAGCACCCATCCTCTGAATGTTCAGGAGAGTGGCTCCCATTGGCTGCCGCAGTCGGTTGTGTTTGGCTGGCCAATGGGGAAGGCCTGCCACGGGAGAGGGCCATACAGGGGGTAGGAGAAGGGGGGAAGCTAGCGGTGGCAGCTCCAGCAAAAGGGGACCTTGTTTCCGGAGCTAACCATTACAGGCCCAGGTGGAGGGATCTTGGAATATGGCATAAACCTCACAGTGTCTTGCATTTCCGAGTCCTCCTTATAATCTAATAAGACCTTCCAGAATGGTGGAGTTTCAAAAGGAATTGGAAACCCCTAGGAAGGTTCACCCCTCTGAAACTCAATGTAGAACAAAGTGGTTGGGTCTAATTTGCCATAAGCCTAGATTATGCTTGGAAGATGATAAATGAACAGAACTTTCTTACCGTATTAGGGGGCAGCTTCCCAAAGCTTACTGAGCATCACACATCTTGATCAAGACCAGTATTCCTTCTCCTGAAAGTGATTTGCAGGTTCAGAATTTGTTGGAAATCAACTTTACTGGGGTACAATTTACATACAATAAAATGCACCCATTTTATGCTTACTTTTAAGACTTTATCTCTCCTCCCGCATATTTCATAGGCTAAGGAAATATTGGCACATGCCAACATTGACATATGAGTCACGTGCTATATGAATTATGTGCTAATGCCATCAAGGTCAGGGATTCCAGCAGCACATGTGAGCTGCCATCTTATTTATGTGTGAGGCTGAGCTGCAGAAGAGACAAATGTGACTAAATCCATTCCCACTGTGAGAAACACAATTCAGTGCATTAGTGATAATTCTGTAAGCAAATTGGAATGCCACTGCTCAGCCAAGTCCAAGTTACTCAAAATGACTGGGAAAATGGCGTCTTCTAGTTAATAAGCCTTTTAGCTAAGTTAGCAGATATATTTATAGCTAACTCTTTTAGCGTATATGTGGGTCACACATTTCTAAAACCCTAGATTATACTATTCAATATTAAAACCATTTTGAGAAGGATTTAATCTTATTTGGCTAATCCAAGGTCATAATTATGAATACCAATTATCATTGTACAGTGTGAATAGCAATCATCATTATACAGTATTTTGTTTTGTTTTGTTTTTAATTTTATTTATTTTTTCCCCCCAAAGCCCCAGTAGATAGTTGTATGTTATAGCTGCACATCCTTCTAGTTGCCGTACGTGGGATCCGGCCTCAGCATGGCCAGAGAAGCGGTGCGTCGGTGCGCACCGGGGATCCGAACCATGGGCCGCCAGAAGCAGAGCGCGCGCACTTAACCGCTAAGCCACGGGGCCGACCCAGTATTTTGGTTTTTTGATTGGCTGATGTCTAGATAATAGTTTGCTGCATCATTCTCCTCTGTATTTGAAGCTAATGCTCCTGGTGGTCATTATCTACAGAAGAATAGCTATAAAAAAGAGGGGAGTAACTATTAATTAGGCACATCCAGTAGGTAGAGTAGAAAGAAGTTTTGCCAACTCACAGCCAGAATTAATGCTAACTTTCTTGAGAGATATAAAAAATATTACTTCTACATTGTAAGATTATTTATATGTATGCTTCCACCAAAAACTTGTCACTGAGTCTGAGAGCTCACAATATATTTGTAAGGTAGAAACATTGATTTCTGGAAATGTGGTATCTCAGAATGGGCTCCGTGCTCTAACAAAAAGTGTTTGTTACCTCTGTGGGGTGAGATTTTGTGGAACTTCCATTTATATTTTTGAAGTTAGTTTGATGTGTGTATATTGCTTTTGCCAAAAAAAGTGATAAAATATAATTTTTAATTAAAAGGGCAAGGAAACTACCTCATTGCACCTATTGCAAAAATAAATTAAATTGTCAGTACAATGCCTGTTCTTTGTGTTAGCTGTGAATCATTAAATGATGTCTTTCAAATATAGCTGGTTGTTTTCATAGGTACCTGATCATCATGATTTTGACAGTGTTTTCCAAAGCCTCTTTCACCAACAGATATGATTAACTTTGTATTTAATCAATCCATCTTTATTATTGGCTTTTAGAAATAGCAATAGATATCCATGTCTGTAAGACCTTTAAGATATTAAATAAATATAAATAATTTTTACCTTATTGTGGAATTGATATTTTCAATATTTATCCCCCAAAGCATCCCTGGGTAAAAAGTCACCCATCACCTGCACTTCTGAATATTAATCTATTCGTAATGAGTAAGGGAACCCTAGGTCATTTTCACCCAATAAAGTCTGTTTCCTGGGTTAAACTTCCCAAATAATGCCTTTGTAATTTCATTCTCTATCCCTAATCCACTAAAAAAAATAATAACTTTATCATCTACAAGATTAGGGCCAAACTCTTTTGCCAGTTCAAATCTGGCCCCACTGTATTAACCTACCTTTATTTACTTGCTGCCATTGTCCCCTGAAAGTGTGCTGGGTTCTGTTTGTTTTATACCTCCAAGCCTTTTAATTTAAACAGCATGGTGCTTCCTCTAAGATACTTTATAAATATTAGTTCATTTAATCTTCATAACAACTCTTTGAGATTGGTAGATGAGGAAAGTGAGGCACAGTTAAGTGACTTGCCCAAGTGGCAGAGCCAGGATTCAACCTGAGGCAGACAGGATCCAAAGTCAACGGTCCTTAACCACTGAAAACATTATCTTTGGTCTCAATGTATTCACCATCTGAAATATCATTCCTCCTCCTCCACTGTCTACTTGAATTTTACTACTCATCCTTTAAGACAGCTCAAGTAACACTTCTTACATGAAGTCCTTCCTTAGCTATTCCATCCCATACTCTGTTCTCTTGCTCTGGCACTACATCAGATATTATTTATTATTTAAATAACCAGTATATGTCATCTCCCCAACTGGACAATGACCACTTCCTATACTTTTCAGATGCCCCCGAGCCCCTTTCATAGTATAGGCCAAGTAGTAAGTGCTCAATAAATACTTGTTAAATGAATATGTAACCCAAAACCTTGAACAAGGCACGTTATGTTTTGCATACAGCGAAAAATTTCTTTCCAATTTAGCTTACATTTGATAGAGTCAAAACACCTATTTACACTCAGCCCCTCATCCTACTCCTCCAACTCTGCAAGTTCCGCTTAGGATTTCACTCACAGAAAGTCTGTGAAACACGAACTCTTTTTGCCAGGATCCTGCTCTCAAGCACGGAAGCCCTAATAGTAGGAGACTATTCGCAGCACCTGGTACAGCATCTAGGACACAGAACTGCACAATATAAAAGCGATATGGGAAAAGAGAGCGCGGAATGAGTACTTGTCCAGGAAACAGGGGTTGGGTGGGAAAGTGTCAGCAATTTATAAAAGACAGAAGCCCATTCCGAATCTGGGAAGCCAGGCTCCCGGGCTCGGACCTATGGAAAGTCTAGAAGTGGTTCAAAGCCAGAGAATCCGGAAATCTTAGGGCCTAGTAGCTAGTGGCCTAAAACAGAACAAAATGCCGTGCTGGGGCCACACCTCCCAAAGGTGCTGTTATCAGTTCTCGCCATCGATACAGCCGCAGCACCGGCCACAACCGCCAGGTAAAGCGGCCCCACAGGTCCCTCCTTGGACAGCTTTCTGAACTCGCTCAGCGAAACCCGTTGCCACCAACCCGCGAAAACTCGCAAGCAATCCCTCCCGGAGCCTGGGCAAGTGTGCCGGGAGCTGGGCGCATGCGCAATTCCTCTCACCGTGCAGGCCAATCGCAATGCGGTGCTGAGTACTACGCCTGCGCAGTAGGCCTCCAGTCGCGCTTCCCCTTCCCCTGCTCTAACAGGCCGGCTTAACTGTCCAATGCCCACCCGGAGCTGGGAGGCGGAGCCTGCGTAGAGTGCGTGTGAAGGGAGTACTGGCGGGGAGCCGGCTGGGGCCCACGGTGTTTGACCCGTCGGTCGGTGCGGGAGACGAAAGGAAAGGAGGAGGAGGTCCAGAGTAGCGGTTGCCGAAATGTTCCGGTGTGGAGGCCTAGCGGCGGGTGCTTTGAAGCAGAAGCTGGCGCCCTTGGTGCGGACAGTGTGCGTCCGAGGCCCGAGGCAGAGGAACCGGCTCCCAGGTGACTGACTGACCCATCCCGGGCAACCCCCACCTCGAAGACCAAGGGCCTGGGGTCCATGGGCTCCCTGTGCCTCACAGCCATCCCCCCACCCCCCGGGAAAAACTTCACACACTCACCGTCTCGTGAATTCCGACTTGGCGGGATCCAAACCACGAGTTTCATAAGCCATGCTGACCTGACCTTCAAGGGAATTGAACCCAGTAGTCGGCTTGAGGCCTTTTCCTGGGAGGGTTTGTTGTTCAGGGATAACAGAACAGCTGGCTGCCTCGTATTGTCCAGTGCCACCTCCTGGCCATCCCCAGGCCCCTTTTTAGAGCCATGAGGTCAAGTAGACTGTCATTTACCGATTGTGAGACTTTAAACAGGACATTTAAGCCCTACACCTCAGTTCCTTCTGTAAAAGGGGATATTACCTACTCTACCTTCCAAACCCCAGATAGGATCCATAGATTTGAGAGCCCTGTGAAACAGAGACAGTGCAGCGCAAGTAAGGAGTCGGTCTGTTGTGAGCCAGACACCAGGAGAGTTGGCCCAGAATTAATTTGAGATGTCAGTGTAATTCTTGGTGGTCTTGAATGCTTCCAAGAAACAGTTTGCAGAACATATTGTATTTGCCCTCCATGGAGTTGTTTCACCCAATTTTAGAGCTGGAAGGGATTTTGTGGTAAAGTTCAACCCACTCATTTTATAGATAATAAACTCAGGCACCGAGAGGTGAAATTACTTGCCCAAGGTCACATAGCTAATTAATAGGTACAGCAAAGGATAGGTTGCCAGTCTCTAGGCCCTTAATCCCCTTGCCACAGCTCCACATTGCTTCCTAAAGTTTGACCTCAAAAGCTTAAGAATGCATCTGGTTCCCTTTAGCCCATTGTGCATCAGATATCCACGAATTTATCTGAGCATATCTTGAGCCTGCTCATTGTCAACCTACACAACCTCATGGGAGTAATGAATTATCCACCTGTAGGAGGTGCTGTTTATTTGGTTTTTGTTTTTGTGGGGTTTTTTTGATCAATAATCTTTGACCACCCAAGAATATTCACATTTGCAATGTCAGAGGTTATCCTTGAGGCCTTTCCAATGTGGAACCATCTTCTGGGTGCTTTAAAAAGTGGAAAATATTTCCCTTAGATTGTTAGTGTCCTTGCAAATGTGCATTTGAACAGTTTTTCTAGTTGCTGTGCCTCAAGAAAATATTTTCTAATGGGTATATCTGAGGTATGTCCTAAGACATATTGTTCTTGGAACTTAAAAACCCCTGCCTTAGCTTTTAAATTAATACCCTGTCTATGATGTCATCTGTATGGGTTTTGTGCATTGAAATGATGGTTCTCTATGCAAGTTGCACAGAAATTTACACAGAAACTTAGGTAAGCTGAAGATTTTCATCCACACTGGCCTTTCAAACTTTGTGTACTTAATTTGCCTAAAACTCACACTTTTTACCAGCATTCTGAAGTCCGAGCAAAAGTTCTCATCAATTATATATGGATTTGCAAAGTTAAATTGATTTCTTAGACGTTTGAAGGTGGTTGGTGATATTTAAACTACTGAAAAATACAGACTCAAAATGTTTTTTTCCGTTGTATGACTTTGTTTGAAGGCAGTCTGCTGTAGAATATATTCTGACTTCTTGACGTATCTCTCCAGCTCTTTGTATACACTTATTCTTTGCCCTTTGGCCAAGCACCAGAGTATAACATCATATGATGCCTTTAGAAATGGGTGAGGGTGGGGTTACAATTTCAAAAATAAATGATTCTATCATTTTAGGAATTAACCCTGTTTTGTGACTTGATTACTAATTGCTTTTAATCTGATTTCTTTTTCACATGGTAGCATCTACCATATGGTTTTTGCATGGGTGGGGAAGAGGCAGTTTGTTTATATGCCGTTTCCCCCACCATTTTTCCCTTCCTCCCCCACAATTCTTTGCCAGGATGTTAGCAAACTTTAAACCTACCTTGAAACTGATTTCATCCACATCTGTCACCATTTGTCAGGTTCATTTCTATTATATGTTACCTTTTGCCTTAAAATCATAATTGCTACTATTTGTTTATTTACTTTATTTGGATGCTCTGCCTCTTTCCAGAAATGATTGAAGGTAATTAAGAGTCATGACTTTATGTCTGCATTCAACACTGAGGAGCGGACAGATCAGGAAATAGATATTTTCTGCTCAGTAGTATTTTATTTGGTCACCAGACATTGTGCTGCCTGTGTGATCAAACTTATCACCGACCCCTGACCTGAGGGTCAAATGATTGAACATTTTTCTCTATTCAGAATCCTTCTCACCTCCTTAAAAAGGAAATTGGACTCCTTGTGGGCAAGGATCCAGACTTCCTGGACACTGCCAAATGACACTTCTTTCCTTTGAAGCCGAGAAGATGACCCTTTGCCCACTCTTTCTCCTGAGGCAAAGCTTTCCAGAAGAAAATCTTTGGCAAGTCAGCCTTTTCTGCAACCAGTTAATATGTTATATTTTCTAGACATTTTCTAACATTTTAAGGGAGTTGCTTCATATTGTAACTTTCTTCTAGATCATGTTTCTAAAAGTTGCCTAGTGGTATAAATCGAGTGGAGGGCCAACCCCAAAACCTACTGAATGAGAATCTCCAGGAGAGATCCTTGAGAATTTATATATTAACAAGCCCCTTGATGTAATTCATATGATCAGGCAAGTTTGGGAAATACTGTTTTGAATGAATAATGACTCTTTCCCTTCTGTTCCACTGACCTAAGGGTTGAAAAAACAGACTGAGCAACCTTAAGTCTCTTGTGATTTGTATCAAGCCCATTTTCTGATATTCAGAATAGTAGCAGCCATTCTTCCCTCCTAAGCTATACACTACCTGAGGACAGGGATTATGTCCTATTTATTTTTGTGCCCTCAGCATTTTTTTTTAATCTTGTGTGTGTGTGGGTGTGAGGAAGATCAGCCCTGAGCTAACATCCGTGCTAATCCTCCACTTTTTTTGCTGAGGAAGACCAGCTCTGAGCTAACATCTATTGCCAATCCTCCTCCTTTTTTTTTTTTCCTTCCCCAAAGCCCCAGTAGATAGTTGTATGTCATAGTTGTACATCATTCTAGTTGCCGTATGTGGGACCCGGCCTCAGCATGGCCAGAGAAGCAGTGCGTCGGTGCGCGCCCAGGATCCGAACCCTGGCCGCCAGTAGCGGAGCGCACACACTTAACCACTAAGCCACGGGGTCGGCCCTGTCCTTAGCATTTTGTACAGTCTCTGGCCCATAGTAAATACTCAGAGACTGAACCCCAAGTACAGTGAAGGACTTAACTTTGCAGAACAGGGTTAGATTTTTTTTTTTTTTTGTCATCTAAATCATTTTTCCTCTGGTGCCTTTCTTCAGAGTGGTTTACACTGTACTATAGTTATTACTACTCTGATTCTTCTAAAATTCCAGCAAGGGTTGATGCTAAAAAAAAAAGGCTGATAAAGGTAAATAGTTGTTGGAGTCCTTATAAAGAGGCACCTAGCTACAATGGACAGATCATCGAGGCTTGTCCTGTCCTGTGCTTGATCTGTGTCAGAAGATTCAGTTTGACATTCAGAAAACAAAACTCAAGAACATATAGATCTCAACCATTTGAGATTCCTAGGTACCTAAATTGTGTGAATGTATTTCTGGAAAAGGCTTTCTGGGAGTATGGAAAAACAGGAGATTATGATATCTACAGAAATGAACCTGCTGATTTAGGTACTATTCTAAGCTAGTCTGCGGTATTTGAGGTTACTAATTTATTATTAAGCAACCTGAAATAAATGGGATGTGGCTAAAACTTCTTTGCAAAGAATTCTTCAAAATGTTCAGTCCTTATCAATAGACTTGGGAAGAATTTCCATTTCCTTCCTTCCTTCATTAATCCAACAAATATTTATTGAGCAAACACCTACTATGTGTTAGGCACTATTGCTCTGTGTAATAATTCAAGAGTTGAATCCTTGCACAGTATAGTGAATATAGACAACAATATTATAATCAGCAGACTTGCTAAGAGACTAGAACCACTTAATTATTTCCAACCACTAAAAAGAAATGATAATTATGTGACATGATAGAGGTACTAATTATCACTACAATGGCAATCATATTATGATATATAAATGTATCAAATTAAAAAAAAGTATCCCAAGTGTGAGGAAGAAAGCGTTACCTCTGTATGTGTGATCTGACTGCAGAAAATCTAAAACAAGTAGACTGGTGCAATGAGAAGTCAAGGAGTATGTTGGCTTCCCACGTTAGTAAGACAAGTGAAAAGGCACGTTCCAGTCATGATGTAAAATTACTGAAAATTTTGAAGCTACGGGGCGGGGGGGAGAAAGATGTGGGAATAATTTAATGGGTAAAAGAAAATCGGAGGGAAATACAAACATCCATAGAATACTTACCAACTTTTACAAAATTAAAGTCACTTGTAGGTATGTAAAAAGTTGGTTGGTTAATGATAATAGTGGTGTATTACATTTCTTTTCAAGCAATAGTTTAAATGTTAACCAATTTACTTTTTAAAAAATCAATTTACTTTAAAAGTAATCTCCTTTTTTGGCAAATTGAGGCAAAAGCTGCTGGATTTTCCCAAATCTACACTTTTAGTTTTATCATTTTGTGAAAAGCAAGCAAATACAGAATAAACACATTAGTATTATATTAAAACAAAGTTGTTATGATTTTGGATTTAGGATCTTCTGGACGGATAAACAGAATTTTTTTAAAAACATTTATTTTCAGTAAACAAACTTTTGGTGGAGGTGGGGGACAAAACTGAATACGCTGAACTAAACCACGTGGAACTTTTTCTACCCAGTTTCGTTTTCTAAGCTCTGAGAGGTGTCAGTTTCTACTTCTGATGCTTCAACATTTTTATGGACTTCTAAAAATCAAAAGCTTGCCCAGACTGAGATAAGCTTTTCCACCCTTGCACATGTTTTTATTTTCATGATTTGTTATTTCCAAATATAAACCATTTTATTTCATGTGGTGATGAAAGATTCTAAAGAAGGTAAGAATTAAAAACACTAAAGAAAAATACGTTTCCAGTTCTAAGAGTATAGGTCCATAGTCCCTTATCTGTAATTCAGAAATCAAAATAGGACTAAAAATCAAGTTTCTGTAACTCATTTGCTAGTAAAACCTGACCTGAACTGGAGAGAGGCTACTTAGAATCTTTTGTTAAACCCACACAGTTTATGATTAGTCATAGAAACGTTAATGTGTGTGTCTGTGGTTTGCAGCCCCTTACTGTACTGGGTGTTACTTACTATATGGTATATGCACTGTATACTTAAGACCAAACAGTTCTGAGTTCTGGAATACACATGTTCCCAAGGATTTCAGGTAAGAGACTGCAGACCTGTATTGGATGTGTTTTTATCCCTCCGTGCCCTGAAATTGTGAAAGCAAGGGGGAAAGCTCCCTATTCCTAATCTCTACAAGTCCATATGGAATGCTACCACCGTGCCCATTCTGTATGTCTTTTAAAGCCTGGCTTCTCAAAAGCGCAGACTGACAGCATCAGCATCACCTGGGAACTTGTTAGAAATGCAAGTTCTTGAGCTCCATCCCAGATCTCCTGACTCAGAAACTCGGGGGATGGGGGTGGGCCAGCCCTGTGGCATAGCGGTTCAGTGCTCGAGCTCCACTGCTGGCGGCCCGGGGTTCGGATCCCGGGCGTGCACCGAGGCACCACTTGTCAGGCCACGCTGTGGCGGCCTCCCATATAAAGTGGAGGAAGATAGGCACAGATGTTAGCCCAGGGCCAGTCTTCCTCAGCAAAAACAGGAGGATTGGCATGGATGTTAGCTCAGGGCTGATCTTCCTCACAAAAAAAAACAAAAGAAACTCGGCGGGGGTGGGAGGGGTCTGATCATCTGTGTTTTAACAAACCTTCCAGGGGACTCTGAGGCACGCTTGTTTTAGAACCACTGCTCTAGATAAGGATCAGCACACCACTGCCCACGGGCCAAACCCACATGCTTTTGTATGCCCCTCGAGCTAAGATTGGTTTTTACGTATTTTAAATGGCTGAAAAATATCAAAATAGGCTATTTTGTGACACGTGAAAATTATTTAAAATTCACATTTAAGTTTCCATAACTAAAGTTTTATTGGAACACAATCTTGTCCATTCATTTATATATTGTCTGTGGCTGCTTTTGTGCAATATCAGCAGAATTGAGTAGCTGCGGCAGAGACTGTATGGCTCACAAAGCTGAAAATATTTGTTATCTGATCCTCTAAAGTCAACACAAGGAATATCACAAGGAGAGAAAGTGCTGAGACCTTCCTTCATCTGAAAATGCCAGCATCCTCCTGGAGAAGGAAATCTTTGAAACTCTTACATTTCCGTGTGTGCAAGTTGTTATGGTCATCAGATCATTACATAGCTGTGCAGAGTTTTAGACCAGCATAAATCTTTGTATTATTTTGGAGGACTAAGAGCCAAGTAGTTGGTGGATATTTTAAATTTTCTCATTTCAAAAAAATATTTCATAGTCTGAAATTCTTCAGTTTTTGAGGGGAGATAAATTCACTTAAAATTTTTTTTTCTCATTTTCTTCTGAGCTTTAACATTTCTATCTGCTAGGACACATGACCTTTCATGCAAGACTGAACTGTGTTCTGCTTAGATTGTGTTGCAGGGTTTTATTATTTTGTGCAAGGTTTAAGCCAGCATTTAGATAACCCCGTAAGTGGTTGTTATAATGTTCCAGGTAGCCTGTAGTTAACTTTTTATATCTGTTTATTCAGTCATCTCTCCATGTTCACTTCATTTATGGTGAAGATGTGAAGAGAAGTATTTGGTGAACTGCTCGTGTGTTTTTCATTATCTTTTTTGTAAGCTGTAAATTTCCTCCCTGGACAGCATTAAATTGTACTTTTAAAAACTCCAACAACTTAAGAGTGTGCATTCTGATATCTGTTGTATTTGTATGTACAGTTTTGATGAGTTTTTCTTGGTTATTTAACAGTGCACATCATGCAGCCCACTGGGCAGTAAGTCTTTACTTGTACAATGCATTGACATTTAGTTATAAACATGTATTAACTATTTTATTTTTGTATGTGTGTGTGTCTTAATAAATTGTGTTCCTTAGGCAACTTGTTCCAGCGATGGCATGTTCCTCTAGAACTCCAGATGACAAGACAAATGGCTAGCTCTGGTGCATCAGGGGGCAAAATCGATAATTCTGTGTTAGTCCTTTTTGTGGGCTTATCAACAATAGGAGCTGGTGCATATGTAAGTAGAAAAGCAGCTTGTGTAAAGAAGCTGCCAAACAGCTCCCACTAACAGACTCAGTACTACTCTGCTTTAAAACTTTTGCAACTAATTCCTCTTTCTCCTTTTGGAAGAATTTCCAAAAAGCCTTCTTTGAAGTGCCTACTATCTAATATCCTATGAGAGCCAATTTGGGAATGACTGAAATTTAATCTCATGTTGATTATCTTTGCTCTTTTCATTTGTCTTTTTACTCTTTACTTGAAAGCTATTGTGTTTTCTTAGATTTGACTAATCCACAGAATTGTACCTTTTTTCTTGGATGTGACACACTAACCTGTGAATAAGTTCAAATTTCGTTGCAGCTCCTTAGCACAATATTTGATTTTGATCCATTTGTCAAATATTTTATTTTTCCTAAGGTTGGGATAGACATTAAAAAACAACAACAACAGCCTTCATTCCAAAATATTAAGCATTTCTAAAAGGAAAACTATCCCTGAACCTCACTCCATGACTAAATTATACAAATAGGCCTAGTATCTCCAATTTTAGAATGGAGTTTGTGTGAGGTGAGAAACGTGGTTTTAACTGCTATGTAGTACTAACACAATTACATCTCCTTAAGTGAACTCTGATCAGCTTACTTGGTCACAGAGGAATTATTCTGTGGGTGTTTTTTTTTAACTTGGCAGGGTTTACTGTGACTAAGCAGATCAGTCTAAAGTTGGATCGTGTAAGGTTTAGCGAACCAACTTAGATAACACCTAGTAACACCCTTGATTGAAGGAAGCTGTTTCACTTACTGAGAGCAAATGGTTGGACGCCATTACGATTTCAGTTCTTTCTACATTGGTAAGACAGTGAACTTATCTTTGTTCCTTGATCACTAGGTTAAAAAAGGGGACATGAAAATTATTTGAAGTTACCTGTATCGTCATTCCCTGACCTGATTCCCCAGTGCACAAGGAAAGTAGACAGCTCTTGCCAGATGTGAGTCAAATCAGAGTAAGAAATAGGTGCGCTCTGTCTGATAACAGACTTTGAGGAAATATTCATTCTCCTCCAATCGCGGAGCAGCATTTTTTTCTTTTTTAGCACAGGGTAACCAAAAATGCTTCTCTGCCTTTGTGTTGAATGTTTCTTCATTAATACTTAGTGCTTTTTCTATTTCCTTTTGTTTCTTTCTTGGCCTTATCTTTACCTACAGTTGTGCAGTGTCATCACCTAGGATCCCCTTCTAGATCACTAGCGTCTGCAGGTGCTTCTGGGAAAGATGGCAGCAGCCTAGTATACTTCTTAATTGTAGGAGCAACAGTCACTGGGGCAGGAGTTTATTATGTAAGATGCTAACACTAAAATATATTTTGGGGTAGGGTGGGTGAGACCATGGCACTAATGAAAACTTGATCCGTTAGAATACAATGAAATATTCATGGCATGTGCTTTCTAGGTATTTATTAAAGGGACATTGTCAGTCACTAGGGAGTCCTCAAATCTCATTCTTCAAACTTGTGAAGTCCTACCAGATATATCTAAAGCCATACATTTAATGATTGCTATAAATCCTCAGCATCAACCCTTTCTTTACAACTTTTGCCATTCTTTTTTTGTGATGCTAAATTATATTGTGCTTTAGTGCTGCATATCTAACAAGACAGTCTCAAAGAGTAAACATTGAATAAGCAAGTAAAGGTAACTAAAACACCATCTATTTTGAATCATTTTAGATAAAATATAATTTTTGTGTTCTATGGGAAACAATCAATTGCCCTACTTTTATTGTGAAAAGGCATTTTATTGAATGCTTCTGAGGAGATCCAAAAAGCCATAGAAATTGCAATATTCTCCCCACTCACCCCCAGCCTCCATTTCAAAGTAAATTCATTTGGCAGTGTCCCTTTTATAATCTCTAATTTGGTCAAACTAGTGGCTGAAGTGGTACAAGCTAACACATTCCTGTATATTGCTTTATTAAATGCCTCTCATTCATAATTCAGATACTACCTTCTGAGCCTTAACTTTTCCATTTCACAGCTTTCTCAACTTTTCCCATCAGTTCATCCCATTCATTCAAAAATAGATTTGAAGTGTTTGCGTCTGGTATGTTTGTAACAATTTAAACCTATTAAACCTCTGGTTTATGTTGCTGTACCAGAGTTGGATGGCCTACACAGAGCTGGCCAGGCAAGTCTTGATGCCAGGCCACAAGACAGGGCCAGTCACTTTTGCTTTCTCCCGCCTTAGAAATATCCACAAAGCACAAGTTCCTCTCAAGCCATTCAGTTAAATGCCTCATTGCCCTCTGTATTTATCCAACACTAGTAATAATAAAGCTACTATATTATAGTGGTTACAGGTTAAATGATAAGCTTTTGTCTACCTACAATTGTAATTGAACTATTTGTATAGTTTTATATTAGGTTTTAAATCATGTAAAACGTGATCTGAGGTGGCTTAGATTTTTTTTCACTGAAATTAGTATTAGTCTCCAGAGAACCGTTAACTTAAAATCAGAGTTCACATTTGATGAGATATGGCTATAAGTTGTTTAGTGTTTGTATTAGTCTGCTCTGACTGCCATAATAAAATACGACAGACTGGGTGGCTTAAACAACAGAAATTTATTCTCTCAGTCTGGATGTTGGAAGTTCAAGATCAGGGTGCCAGCATGGTCAGGTTCTGGTGAGGCTTTTCCTGGTTTGCAGATGGCTACCTTCTCTTATGTCCTCACATGTGGAAGAGAAAAAGATCCAGAGCTCTGGAGTCTCTTGGTCTTCTTATAAGGGCATCAGCCCTATCAGATTAGGGCCATGTCCTTATGATCTCATTTAACCTTTATCACCTCCCAAAAGTCCCATCTCTAAATACTATCACATTGAGGGTTAGGGCTTCAACATATGGATTTCAGGGGGACACAGACATTGAGTCCACAACAGTATTCCTTCATAACTTTTCTCATATGAGGATGTGTTCCTAATTTAAATATAAATACTACTTTAGTGATTCCTGAGTTGGGAGCTCTTTACCTTCCCCCTACTCTACCCTCCAAAAATAAGGGAGTAGCACTAAGAACAAGGAAGATTTTTCTGAAATGTTTGCTTGAGGTCTATGCTTTAAACCAGTGGCTTTTTAATTTTTTACCGCAATCCCCAGAAAGAAATACATTTTATCTTTCAACCCATTATACAACTACAGTCGTGTGTCACTTAATGACAGGGATACGTTCTGAGAAATGAGTCGTTAGGTGATTTTGTCGTCGTGTGAACATCATAGAGTGCACTTCCACAAACCTAGATGGTATAGCCTACTACACACCTAGGCGATATGGTACTAATCTTATGGGGCCACTGTCATATATGCAGTCCATTGTTGACTGAAACATTGTTATGCGGTGCATGACTGACACATATACATAAAACTGAAACAAACTTTCAAAATAATACTACATGTGATATACTCTGATAGTTTCTATTCTCTTGTATTTTTTTAATGCTGGTCATAACTTACTAAATTGATTTTACAGCCCATTAATGCATTGCAACCTCAGTTTGAAAAAACACTGATTTGAACAGTGTTTCTTCAGCTTAGATTGCAAATAGGGACTCCTAATTGGCATGGATGTGAGTGTTCCTCCTCTTCTTGCTAGTGGCTTTCTCTAGGACCACAGGCAGGTCCCCTAGTCTCAATCTTGTTATTTGTCAGTGAGCAGAGCCAAAGTAGCTTTTAAAATATTTAATTTACAGGCCGGCCCCGTGGCATAGCAGTTAAGTGTGCACGCTCCGCTGCTGGCGGCCCGGGTTCAGATCCCGGGCACGCTCCGACACACCGCTTGTCAGGCCATGCTGTGGGGCGTCCCATATAAAGTGGAGGAGGATGGGCACGGATGTTAGCTCAGCGCCCGTCTTCCCTCAGCAAAAAGAGGAGGATTGGCATGGATGTTAGCTCAGGGCTGATCTTCCTCACACACACACTAAATAAATAAATAAATATTTAAAAAATAAAAAAATAAAATATTTAATTTAATGAGATTTAGTATAGGCATACTCGCTTTATTGCGCTTTACTTTATTGCACGTCACAGATACTGCATTTTTTACGAGACCCTCCACCAGCGAAAATATTACAATTCCCTGAGGGCTCAGATCATGGTTTACATTTTTTAGCAATGAAGTATTTTTTTAATTAAGGTATGTACATTTTTTGAGACATAATGCTGTTGTACACTTAATAGACTATAGTATAGTGTAAACATGACTTTCATATGCACTGGGAAACTAAAAAATTTGCGTGACTGACTTTATTGTGATAGTCACTTTTTTGTGGTAGTCTGGAACCAAACCCACACTATCTCCAAGGTATGCCTATATTTGGGCCCTTTGCCGTTGTTCAACTGATAGGATCACATTGCCCCACTCAGAAAATGACCCATTTCCTTTCAAATTCCTTTAAGTTGAATAAATGCTGCCATATTCTTCTGTTTAGGAAAGTTGTCACCACTAATATTTTTCATAAATTTGTAGTTTTTCTTAACCTGACATGTTTTTATGTCACTAATTGGATATCTGTACAAACTGGGAATACAGAAACACTTAGGGGAAAGGTAAATTTTTATTTAGTATGTCTGTAAGCTTATTTTTATATCAGAACATTTACTTAAATTCTAAATATACAAATATATGTATATAAATATATGACAAATCTCATTCTTGTCCTTTTCCCACTAAACCTCAAGCTATTTCTTGGTCTGCTCTTCACCTCGTCTGTGAAGCCATTAGGGGCTGTGAGAGGGCCTAGGCTATTTTTGGATATCCCTCTCAGTGTGAACACGACCCCAGTTTATTTCTCTGTTCACTCATTGACCAGCTTAAGTCCCTTTCTTAAATATTTTTTCTTGGGTATGGGTAAATACTGCACTCATATATAGTATCTAATGCCAAAATAAAATCTTTCTTCCTGAAATTAATGTTAGTTGAATTCAGTTTATTAAATTTGATGAATTTAGTGGTAAATTCAAGGAATAACCATTGTCTTTGAACAGACAGTACTTAATTTTCTAATACATCCATGTCATAGGTTAGATGTTTCCTGGCTGATAAAGGTTAAGTCCGGGTCTCGGGGTCCTTATTGGAGCACATTGCCTAACGGGCTGGTCTGTAAGGGGCTCATAGAAATATCCTTAGAACACGTTTTATGATACTTCTGATTGTCCTTACTTTCTCCTCCAATTAATTAGTAATCTGGGATTTCAACTGGCATATGTTCACTTAAATTCCTGTCTTGTTGACCCTGTGGGGTACAAAAGAGCAAAAGCGTTGTAATAAAAACAAGTCATTTTGCCTACTGCTTTTTTAAAAATCTCTAATAAACTCTGTTGCTATATTTTTTTGTGTGTGGGGGGGGAAGATCAGCCCTGAGCTAGCTAACATCTGCCAATCCTCCTCTTTTTGCTGAGGAAGACTGGCCCTGGGCTAACATCCGTGCCCGTCTTCCTCCACTTTATATGGGTCGCCGCCACAGTATGGCTTGCCAAGCGGTGCGTTGGTGCGCACCCGGGATCTGAACCGGCGAACCCCGGGCCACCGCAGCGGAGCACACTCACTTAACCGCTCGCGCCACTGGGCTGGCCCCCTGTTGCTATATGTTTAAAAAAAAAAAAACAAGTCATAATGCTAAGGTACCCTTCTTCAATTTTAAAGGCTAGAGAAGACAGTATAAAATCATGCATCACTTAATGACGGGGATAGTTCTGTGAAACACATTCTGAGAAATGCATCATTAGGTGATTTCATGGTTGTGCGAACATCATAGAGTGAACTTACACAAACCTAGATGGTATAGCCTGCTACACACCTAGGCTATATGGTACTAATCTTATGGGACCACTACTTCTGTGTGGTCCATCGTTGACCAAAATGTTGTTATGCGGTGCATGAATGTGTTTGAAATACAACAGGTGTTTAAGAAAGATGTTTGACCCTTAATAAATATTTGAGTGTCGTAAAAGGATAGACCATTGAGAGAAAGATGAGTTACTCTATGAGACTAGGAGACAGGTGATCATGTTTCAGGGCGTTATCTGAGTACCCAGCAAAACTTTGGGATATCTACCAGGAAAACTTACATCCCAGCTTCCTACCCAGGACCATGTAGATTGCTTTCACAGCTCGTATCCATAGTCCGTAGTCCAAAACCCCTTTTATAAAGTTTAGCCATTAGCATTTTATTCTTCTAGTATAAAATGTTCTTCTTTTTTCTTTAGCTGTACCTTCAGAATTAAGTATGAAGAAAATTCTTCACATAGAGCCTAAGGAAATCTGGAACATTTTCATCTGCTAACCTGTATTCTTTCCACACCAACTGTGTACACACTCAATATTTTTTATTTCTTAAGGAAATAATTTTGCCGTAGTGATTTTAACATAGAACTTACCTCATGTAGACAAAAGCTTCTCATTTAATTGAAAGATAATGATAATACTTATGGTTTGAGCTAGCTGTATGATAAATTTTCTCCATGTTTGGATTTACAGGCCTACAAGACTATAAAAGATGACAAAAAAAGATATAATGAAAGAATTTCAGGGTTAGGGCTGACACCAGAAGAGAAACAGCAAAGGGCCACATCATCTGGTGAGTATGATTTGAAACTCAGTATATGAGGGGAAAGTTATATACAGTTGGGGTGCTATGCTTTGCGAATATCTTATAGACACGATGATGCTTGTGAGAGTGTAAGCTTTCAGAAACTGTGGTATTACCCTAGACCTGGGAGCAATTTGTTAAAGCATTTGACTGGAATTTGGGTTTGAGGATAAAATTATGATTATGATTGGTTGTTTTTATTTAGATTAGATTCTTAAATGGCAAGCTTTAAATAAAAAAGGCAAGCTTGGTAAGGAAAATTAGTGGAAAAGAGATAAAGTGTTTTTTTTCAACGAGGAAATTCTTTTGGTCTGTTTTGTTCCCCTTTTGAGTCCTTGGAGTTTCGAGTTGTTAAGAGATATATTTGGTTTCCTAAAGCATATAGCCCTAGCTGTCACTTCCATCCCACGTGACTTGGCTTGATTTTTCAGAGAGAAATGTTTTAATCCTTTAATAAGCCCCACAACTCTGGGTGGGCAATTTACATTGCTTTATTCAATAACACCTCCTTATTCTTGATCATTGTAAAATAATCCCTAATTATCCTGCTGGGTTTTCCCCCTTTATTGCTAACAAAAGGTGAAAGTGAACTTGATATTTTCCTGTTGGTCATTAGGAAGTTAATGAGAAGGGCGGAAGCCTTCTAATATATACTTTCTTATATATTTGAGAAATAGCTAAACATTAAACTAGGTTCTAGTTCTGGCAGACTTAATGAATGAATGACGTTGACCCAATCATTCACCTCTCTTTTGGGTATTTTTCATTTATGAAATGAAAGGTATACTTGCTTTTCCTGTCCCATCAGGGTGCTGTGAAGTTTGTTAAGATTAATGTAGGTACAGTGTTGTGCTAACTTTATGTAAAGGCAAGGAGTCCTCTGAGACTTGAAGAAAATTCACCATGTCTGGTCTGTTGCTTACAGCTCCAGAAGGAGAGCCAGTTCCTCAAGTCAGAGTACCAAGTCATGTTCCATTCCTGCTTATTGGTGGAGGCACCGCTGCATTTGCTGCAGCCAGATCCATCCGGGCTCGGGATCCTGGGGCCAGGGTAAGGCACGCACTGTCTTGCTTGGCACGAAGGGTATAGTCTGCAAGCACTTAGCCAGTGTGAACACTTGGACATCTGCCTCTCAAATGACTTGGCTCTGATAAGTATCATTATTTTGTGTCTAAAGGTACTGATTGTATCTGAAGATCCTGAGCTGCCATACATGCGACCTCCTCTTTCAAAAGAACTGTGGTTTTCAGATGATCCAAATGTCACAAAGACACTGCGATTCAAACAGTGGAATGGAAAAGAGAGAAGGTGTGTTCCCTTATGTAAAATGGGCCTGACTAGCAACTTCAGCTAAGCACAGGGAGTGGGTCTGGATTTTGTGTGAACCACATGCAGTGCCTAGGATGGATGACAGGGCTGCACACCGGAGTCCACTGTGGTACACACTTGCTACATCTCAGAGGCAACAGGCTACAGTGGCAAGAGTCCTGGATTCTGTTACCAGATCTACCAACAAGTGAAGATGTAGTGTTGGCCTCTGAAGTATTGCTCCTATTTCCAGGACCTTTATGTTAGACTTCTCCAGTGAAGATCAGCTCTGCCTGAGTTGTCACTTCTTTATACTTGCCTAGGCATGTCCCATAAAAGCAAAAGACACTCTTCTATGGCACTTTCTTTGACACTCTAGCAGGTATTCAGAATTGCAGGGGGAGAGTGGGAACACTGTAAGGAAGAACCGCTTTATTAAAATGTCTGCACAAGAGACTTGGAAATGCAGATCCAGAAGCCTTTTCCTTTTAAAGGACTCCTTGGATCTCTTGCTTCCAGTACCATGTTCTTTGAGTTCCGGTTTTTTTCTCATTAGTGATTCCTTTGATACTGGGCTAAATTTTACAAACCTACCCACCTCCCTCACCCCCACTATCATGTTCCTTTCTCACGCAGCCTTCATATTTCTAATTATGTTAGTCATCCCTTAATTACTATCTCATAGTTACTGTCTACTGTTTGAGGCAAAATCATCTCAGGAGCTAGACCTAGTTGTGCATTGACCAACGTAATTCTGGACCGTTCGTTGAGGTGGGTGTGAATACCAGCTCCTTGGGCACTCCTCTTGTTTTAACTTTGAAATGAACCTAAGTCCAGAACAGAGTTTCTCAACCTCGGCACTATTGACATTGAGGGCTGGATAATTCTTTGCTGTGGGAGTTTGGCTGTGCATTGTAGGATGTTTAACACCATCACTGGCCTCTACCCACTAGATACCAGAAACATCACTCCTCCTAAGCTGTTATAGCCAAAAATGTCTCCAGACGTTGCCAAATGTCCCTGGGGGGTAAAATTGCCTCTAGCTGAGAACCACTGGTCTAAAATACCTCTGTATAAGTAAGTCACAGCCAAGATTTAGTGGCCTTGGAGACTTACTTTGGAAAATGTTCCTAAAAGTTTTTCATGATGGAAACAATTTTACTAAAGCTATGGGTGAAGTTGGTAGCAGTTCCAGGTGCTTATAACATTTTCTCCCTCTTCTCTGTACAGCATATATTTCCAGCCACCTTCTTTCTATGTCTCTGCTCAGGACCTGCCTCACATTGAGAATGGTGGTGTGGCTGTCCTCACTGGGAAGAAGGTGAGCTGGTAGGCTGCTTCCTTTATCAGGTTCCACGTGTGTGCTGTCGTGGCCAGCGAGTATGGTGACTTGTATTCCCACTACCATTTATGTCTGTCCTGCCATTGTAGTTCATCGAAGAAGGATTGAGTCATTTTAGGTTTAATATTGCCAGTCTACACTGCTAAGTGTGTCTTCCTGGGGAAAGCACTAATCTCAAAGCCTAGAGTAGCATGCCAACTAAACTTTCCCAGGGAAGTCGGATCATTGGGGACCATGACCCTGAAGCCATTCCCTCTCCTGATTTGCTCCTCTGCCCTTCCTTCTTCATATTTTCCACAGTAACATTTCTTTGAGATTACTGATGACAAGAGGTTGACAAATGTATATTATTCAGGACAGTAAAATAATTCAGGCATGACGTAAAACATTGTTAGACTTTACAAAGGTGAGTGCCTGAGTAATGGGGGCAGTTATTGGAGGATGTTTGTGGGGTCCAGGGAGGGTTTTATTTTGTTGTGTTATGGGAGGTACTAGAGTGTGTTTGTAAATTGATGGCAGTGTTCCAGTAGAGAGGGAAGAGTTATCAGAAGGAGCAAAGCCCGGGTAGATGGGATCCAGAGCACAAGTGGAGGCATTGACCTTTAATAGGGACAGGCCCACTTCTTCTATAAGGGGACATTAGGCAGAGAAGAGGGATGTAGGTTTGTGGATAAGCTAGAAAGAGACATTATGTATTAAGTATTCCCTATGTGTAAATAGCACACAGGCCCTGCCCTTTAGGGACTAACAGCATTAGGCAGAAACATGAACAGATCATCATAACACAGATGTGGAGTAAGAAAGATGCACAGTGTATTGTGGAAATTACTGGGATGCGTGCCCAGCGTAGTGATAGTTTCAGGGAAGGCTTCCTGGAGGAGGAAGTCTTATAGAATGGGAAATCTTATGGAATGAAGAAGCATTCACGAGATTAGAGAAAAGTGAAGAGTATTCAGGTAAAAAAAGAACAGCATAAGCAAAGGCACAAGAGTATGAAAAAGCATGTTTGGTGCAGGGAAACAAGCAGCTAGGTACTGATAGAGCAGAAAGTACAGGTTAAGGAGTGGCAAGAAATGAAACTGAGAGGTTATGCAGGGGCCCAATCATGGAGAGCTCTGTCGTTTGAAAAAGCTTGAGCTTGATCCCATAGGCACTGGGGGGCTGTTGAGGTTTAGACAAGGATATAAAACAGTTGGATTGAATTTTAAGTAACCACTCTATTGGCTTTGAGGAGAATGGATTTCAAGGGGACAAGACTAGAAATAGATCATTTCAAAGACTATTGCAGGGGCCGGCCCGGTGGCACAAGCGGTTGGGTGCGCGCGCTCCGCTGCGGTGGCCCGGGGTTCGCTGGTTCGGATCCCGGGCGCGCACTGACGCACTGCTTTGGCAAGCCATGCTGTGGCGGCGTCCCATATAAAGTGGAGGAGGA